AAAAAAAAAAAAAAAAATCATTGGAGCTTTTCTTTATTTGAAAGTGTTGCTTTTGAGCCGTTTATTGGCTTTTCTATTTCTATTAATATATAAAAGGGCACACATGCCGGAATCTTCCACTAATCGACCAGAGTCTCCCCGACTCGAACCACCGGACCCCCCGCAAGAGGAGATGGAGGAATTCCAAGAACTAGCGAAAGCAAACCCACCGAATCTGACAAACCCTAGACTATCGAAAAAGCGCCGCTCTATCCAAGGACTGACTTCTTCGGCGGATGCCCTTGATGCGGACCGGCGTTCTCACCCACCGACCAGTCCCTATGTGACCAATGTGGATAGCCCAGCGTACTTCCCGTCACTTGATGAGAAGCCCCCGAGCCCCCAAACCCGTCCCTCATTTCGTGATACCTTGACCAACAAACGCCCCTCTCATGTGGAATTGGTGTCGGATGATGAGGAGGACGTGGAGGATGACGATGTTACTGTAGATTTCACCCCACCAGAGCCGAATATCGTCATGTCACCGAGTTTCTACGCCTCCTGCATTAAACCTTGGCAGGATGCGGTGATTGTCAAGCTAATTGGAAAATCGATCGATTTGCAATCACTGTATAACAGGCTAGCCCCAATTTGGCCGGGATTAATGGGTATGGAAATGATGATTGATATGCAAAATGGTTACTTCTTAATTCGGTTTAACTCACATGATGACGCGGTTCGGGCACTGGTCGGAGGCCCTTGGGTGATTGATAGACACTATCTACATGTGCAACCATGGAATGAAAGTTTTGACGTCTCTACGAATGAGATTCTATCGATCGTGGCTTGGATTCGCTTACCTGGGATGCCGGTTCACCTCTACCATAAGAAGATTTTTCGTACTATTGGCCAGATAGTGGGCAAGGTTATCAAAATTGATCACCAAACGGCGGCGGTAACTAGGGGACAGTATGCTCGCCTGGCAGTTCAGCTGGACCTCACGAAGCCCCTACGGGCGATGTTTACAATTAGCAATAAAGTCCAGCGGGTAGAGTATTAAAGCTTACCGCACATTTGCTTTGCTTGTGGTCGTTATGGTCATAACCGAGAGTCGTGTCCCAAAAATTCGGAGGCTGGGAACTCGAGTGGCAGCAAACCAGTGCCCGAGACCCCAATCGAACCAACAGGATACGGAGAATGGATGGTGGCAAAGACGCGTGGTCGACCGGCAGGCACTAGGCGAGCTGGAGGAACGCTGCCTTCTCCAAAAACGCGATCAACAAACAATAGGGGTGGCTCCCGATACGAAGCATTGGCAACGGAAGAGGAGGACACGTCCATGGAGGTGGGGAATGAGTTCGGTATTGAAGCACACGGAAAGGGCAAGGCCGTGGTGAGAGAAGGGCAACGGCGACCCAGGCAGGTGACCTTTGTGGGAGAACACTCTGCATTCAATAAGAACCAGCAGGCTAGCACCTTTCAATTCAACACGTCTGGAAAAATAGTGGCAACTCCTAGAAATGGACCCGTTGCAGCGGGTAAGAGAATCATGAAAAATACAGGCATCTCTAGCAATCGGGCAACAACTGCAGGTAACCCACCCAAGTTAGTGGCCAAGCATACATCAGCGACGATGGGTGCATCAGTGCACCATTCGACAGCGAGGGTGATTACACAAGACACGGGATTAGATCCACAGAAGCACACGACGGTAGTTGTTTTAGATAGTCCTGACCCACCCATTGATGATCGGCCGGAGTCCCAGAGGGCAGACCTGGACAATATCACCGAGACTGAGCGTACTTATTTGAGCCAACGGCCGTCTACCACTGCCATGGATACTGGCCATCCGGATCCTCAAGAAGATATTGTTCGATGCTTAGTCGACACGGAGATGCAGGGAGCGGAACCCTCGGGAGGTTTCATTCCACGCTCGCAATAATGGATCTTTCCCTCCAATTATGTGTTTCCTTATGAATATATTATGCTGGAATGTTCAAGGCGCCCGCTCGAGGCAATTTGGTCGAGCCTTTAAGGAGCTTACTGTTACACATAGGCCGAATGTAGTCGCACTGCTGGAACCCCGTATCAGTGGTTCCCAGGCGGATGATTTTGTCCGGAGAAGTGGTTTTGATAGATCTTTTCGTGTCGAGGCGACGGGTTTCTCCGGGGGTATATGGCTACTTTGGAAGGAAAAAGTGGATTTATCTGTCATTCTGTGTAGGAAACAATTCATTCATGCGAAGTTACACAAAGACGGGACCGACAGCCTAGTCACATTTGTTTACGCTAGCCCTCAATCTCGGGGTAGATAAGTGTTATGGGCTGACTTGGAGTTACTGGCCACTACTATAAATAGCCCGTGGTTAGTTGGCGGTGACTTTAATAGCATGTTGCGGCACTCAGAAAAATCGGGCGGTTCCACTAGACGCAGCCCGGTGGATTCGAGTTTCTCAGATTGGGTTTTTGGATGCGGGATGCAAGAACTCCGCACTGATGGCTTGCCTTTCACTTGGGTCCGGGGATCAGTAAAAGAGAAACTGGACCGCTTCCTTGCTAACGCCGAATGGATCAACCGATTCCCCGAGGCTTTGGTTCTCCACCCCCCCCGTAGACGGTCCGATCATTTTCCTTTATTGGTTCGATGGTGCTCGCTGGGGAGTGGGTCCCCAAGGGTCACACCCTTTCGCTTCTTAGCAGCATGGATGGGTCATGAAGGTTTTGAAGATTTGGTTAAGGCGGCATGGGAGAGTCCAGGGAGCTATGAGCAGGCTTCTTCTGAATTCATGACCTCAGTCACCACCTGGAATCGTGAGGTATTTGGCAACATCTTTCAAAAGAAAAATCAAATTCGGCGAAGATTGGGGGGTATTCAACGTGCACTTCAGTTCTACTCCTCACCTAGGCTTAACCAGTTGGAGATAGATTTGCAGAAGGAGCTCGAGGAAATTCTGGTACATGAGGAGCTATTACTAATTCAGAAGTCCACTCGGGAGTGGTCCCTCTTTGGAGACCGCAACACAAAATTTTATCACACATCGATTAAATGTCGTCGACGTAGGAATAAGATTATCTTTTTGCGGGATCCTACCGGGAATATTGTCTCCGAACCCGCACAACTCCAAAGGATGGCCTGCGAGTATTTTCAGTAGATTTACACGGCGGGGGACGCATCTACGACAGTGGTAGATATCCCGAACCTATTTCCTGAGCTCGGGGACTCCGATATACTATGGATTAATCGCAGAATCTCCGAACAGGAAGTGTTTACGACTCTAATGGCTATGCATCCCTTAAAGTCTCCAGGAAGTGATGGCCTGCACGCTTTTTTCTTTCAGAAGCAATGGGCTGTCGTGGGTCCCTCGGTGTGCGCAATGATCCGAGATTTCTTTCAGCATGGGACCTTGAATAGTTCAGTGAACACTACTCTTCTTGTCCTTATTCCCAAAGTCCCTAACCCGGAGAGCATCGGGAACTTCCGGCCAATTAGTTTGCTGAATGTCGTATACAAAATCATTACAAAGTTGTTGGCTAATAGAATGAAGGGTTTACTACCAAAGTTAATTGGCCCTGCACAAGTTAGTTTCATTCCTGGCCGTCAAATCTCGGATAATATTGTTATTGCCCAAGAATTAATCCACTCTATGAACCGCAAAACCGGTAAATCGGGGTACATGGTTGTTAAGGTGGATCTGGAGAAGGCTTACGATTATGTACGGTGGGACTTTCTGGAAGAGACACTTCTTTTAGATCACTTTCCCTCGCACTACGTCAATTTGATTATGACTTGTGTTAAAACCGCCACTATGCAACTTTTGTTTAACGGAGAAGTAACCGAAACTTTCAAGCCGACACGCAGGGTGCGACAGGGGGACCCGATATCTCCGTACCTGTTTGTCCTCTGTATCGAACGGTTAACACATTTTATCATCAGTGAGGTGGAAAAAAAAATTGGAGGCCAGTGCATTTAGGTCGTGGTGACTCTCGCGTGGAGGTTCCCTATTTACTTTTCGCGGATGATCTACTCTTGTTTGTGGAGGCATCGCCCGACCAAGCGGGAATAATCAAGCGGGTTCTTGAGGACTTTTGTAGTCTCTCGGGCTTGAAAGTTAGCGAGGCGAAAACACGGGTCTCTTTTTCCAAAAATGTCCCGAACCATCTCAGGCAGACTTTAGCAGATTCCATGGGGTTCACGGAAGTTAGTGATCTTGGTAAATATCTTGGAATGCCGTTAGTCCATGGACGGGTTAAAAAATGCATGTACTCCGACATCTTAGATAAAGCGGAGTCTCGACTGGCTGGTTGGAAGGCGGCTACTCTCTCTTTGGCCGGGAGGGTGACACTTGCACAATCGGTCATCAACACTATGCCATGCTTCGCGATGCAAACCGTATGGCTTCCACGGTCAATTTTGGATGAGCTGGAGAAAAAATGTCGTCGTTTTGTCTGGGGTGGTACGGCTACGAACAGGAAAACCCCCTTGATTCCATGGGCTGAAATTTGTCGTCCGAAAATCGAGGGTGGACTTGGTCTCAAATGTATGCGCCGTATGAACAACGCACTTCTAATGAAATTGGGGTGGGGTTTGCTTACTCGCCCGGATGCTCTTTGGGTGTGAGCCCTTTTGGCGAAATACAAGCTGTCGCATCCCCAACTGTTGGGTACAACGTCTCTTCCGAAGGGATCGTCCACAATGAGGGGCCTAGGGAGGATTTGGGGACAACT